GGTATATTATATACATTTCTGATTTCCAATAAAAATAACTGATATTAAACTTCAAGAATCTGATATTAAACTTCAAGAATCTGATATTAAACTTCAAGGGATAAAATACGAAAATGAATGTTGGGAGTTGGATAGAAAGAGAAAGGAAACCTGTTCCCCCAGAAAGTTAGTTAAGAACTTATTAAGATGTTTCTGGTTTGGAGGTATAGATTGAGAGCTAAAAGAGTGGTAGTGAAGAAGAGAACAGAAATCTATCAGCCTGTTTTCTCATTTATACATTTAGACTCCCATGGCATCCATGCTATCACAGAAATTATTAAAAGCTCAAACCGGAGAGTTAATTCCAGCACCTCCCGAGGGATTTTCCTTTGRGAACCTTGTCCCCACCTCTAATATTTATTTTCATCTTCTGTTATTCTTTGCATACATCCAACCCAGCCCTTTCCTTCMTCTCAGCACCAGATACTGATTGAGYTGTTGCCYTGGGAAATGAATCAATTAAGGCTGTGTTTGTTTTTGCCTCTGTGGAAGGCAGGGTGGAAGCAGTGGGGCTTGGTGCTCTGTAATAACTGTGTCTTCTGCTTGTGAGGGGGCTGAGCCTGACCCCCTGATTGCTCTGGACAAGCCCTGCTGSTGATTGCAGCCCTGATTATAGCCCTGATTGCTCCCTCAGGCTGCAGAGTGCCCTCACCAGAGCCCTGACAGCCTCCTGGGTGCTTCTTGTGCTGCTCCCATGGCACAGAACCATCTGTCCCCTGCTCTGGGGTGTTRTATCTTGCCAGGCAGAGAGCAGAGGTACTTCTGTGAACTCCCTGTGACATGGGAATGAACMAAAATGTGCATAAAAAGATGCTTTTCTGAAGCTGCAGGGCATTGCCTGCAAAGTGAGAAACTTTTATAGCAGGGAGAAACTCAGGGAGCCCTGAGGGCATAGGAGGTCAGACAAGCCATGCACCACCTTTGAACAGCTGCCACTGCCCTGTCTGCATGCAGAAATATTCAAATGTCTTGAGGAAACCATGCTCTTCTCTCACCTAATAATTATTACTTTTAAGGTAGACTGCAAGTAGCAGTTTGCCCCTAGSAGATGTTGTTTCAAACACAAAGAASTATTAAATAATARTAATAATAATAGAGACCTTCCCTGCCTTCAGCAACTGGACAGAAGCACATCCTTTCTCCATTGTCTTTTCCAGTTACCAACCAGACCTAAAGCAGTTCCAAACCTAAATAAAGATCTCCAAAATGTTCCCTCTGAAGGTTGATCCAGAGTATTCTCTCATCTGCTCAGCAGCACAGTGGTCACAGGGATCCTTTTTATCGCTGTCCCTGAGCAGAAATGACAAGTGCCAGCAATTCTTGCCTTAAAAGTGGCTGCTCCCATGACAGGGATGATCAGTGTTCCTACACTGACAAGCCATTATTCTTTCCCACCTGTTTAAGATTCTGTTGGASTTTTTGGGTGCATTTCCAGGAACATCAGAGTCTCAGTGCATTCTGATGAAGATGGGTGGCTGGAGGGCTCAGCCCACAGCATCACTCGTGATAAAACATTCTCTCATAGTGAGAGCATTTTCTTTGAGCACTGAGGAATGGGACAGTCCCTAAAATGTGGCCTCGAGGTGAGAATACAAAATACAAATCTCTGTCAACACTCTGCACTATTGCCTTACTCAGGGAAAGGTCTGATGTTCTGTCCACTTACAAAGGAGAGGATGTGGAGAAAACTGAACCAAGATAATTCTTTATAACAAAGCAAAGAAAGGGGTTTTATTCTTGTTTGAYGAGGAAATCAGAAGATTCTCTTTCCATGACAGAGGCCAGCATCCAGCAGAGTAACCTGTGTGATACCMTACTCAGGCAAGAGTTTGATATAAATTAACTGAGACACATGTTACTGTCCTACTTATTTAAAAAATGTATATTTAAACACTTCTGTCTTTCCCAATGATGCTTTCAATGATGTTCTAACTGCTTTAGAAACAGCAATCCCACACCCTGGGCACCACATGAGGACTGTGTCCTTACAAAAACCTACTTTTACCCTGCATTCACAAGTGAGCAAACTGCAGCACTGCAAAGCCTGGTGTTGGAAAACTAAATAATACTCCAGTTCCATCTGTCTATATGAGATAATTCAAGAGGCTACAAGTACAAGACAATTTGATGACTGAGATCCCCGAGAGGCCAYCACTGCTGGAAATGGAAATGGCTTTTCTCTAAATTCTGAGCTTTTTTTTTTCCCAATTGCATTGTTTCCTATAATTGGTTAGTCTAACAGACTTCACTGGATACCTTCAGAAAAAAAAAAAAATAAAATCTTTCTGACAGTCATTTGCTAATATTTTTAGACAATGATATCAGAGGCAGATATTTCCAAAGCAGCTGATAGTTTTTAAAGGCATTACAGAAAGTTAATAAAATTTCACATTCAGAAATGGTTGGATCCAAAGTGGTGGGCTTTTCACCTAGAAAATTTTAAGACACAACATTAGAAGTGCTTGTCAGCAATTCCAATAAATGAACTTCTATTTTTTAAAGTATGCAGTATATTTTGATAGTAACAAACCTCAGAAATGTATGCAAACCATACAGGCACTTGACAAAACCAAAAGCCTCACATGTTGATTAAACAATCCATTTGGTATTATTTGTTTGCTCTACTGTGTGAGTATGGCCTTTTCCACTCACACAGCCTGCTTGATTTTCAGATTCTTTACATCAGAACGATTGCCTGAATTAGGATTATTTTTCACCAACTGCAGAATCAGCTGCATCTTTCTTTTCCAAGGYTTATCAAAGTTCAGTTGGCTCTGGCAAGCATTAGTCAGATATTTAATTTACCTGCTAGTTAGTGACTTTGGTAAACTTTAGGTGTTTAAGGCTGCAAGCCCCCATTGATTAACATCTCACACAGAATCTATTCCTCTCAATTTACAGTTTCTGAAATGTCAGAACTATAATCCTGTGTTACTATTTCATGAAAGCTCAAGTAAAACACAAGGCAGTACATTGCACATGTAGTTACTGGACACCTTCTAGGAGGGTTTCATTTTTCCAGGAAAAAAAATCAATTCTGTCTGTTTCTTACATATTTTTTTTAGAATAGGGTAAGGCTTGTGAAAGCTAGGAGATATCTCAGTTTTATGTGCTTATTGTGGATGGTTTAAGTGGAGACACCCTTTCCATACACAACCAGTGCTGTAAATCTGTAAATACTGGCTGGAAGGCTGAAATCCAAAACCCTGATGGTTTCTCTCAAGCCTCACACAAATCAAAACACCAGCAGAGTGAATTAGGCACTATAATCCTTAGGGAGGAATAAACTTGATTTAGGATCCAGTGCCAAGTTTAGCAACCATTTTCATCCAAATGTTTATTAGAATCTACCCCATTTGCTGTGGCATTTCAATCTGCTCAAAACCAGTGATGAACAGTCTAGAACTTCTTATTTGCTGAAACAATTCTAGTTATCAGCTAAAAATCTCACTCAATCTGCTCAAAAACATTGATGAGCAGTCTAGAACTTCTTATTTGCTGAAACAATTCTAGTTATCAGCTAAAAATCTTACAGACAGCCTTGTTGCAAGCGACCAGTGAGATTTCAAGTACTTAATAAAGTATTAAACACAATATCAAAGCTAGAAGACATTTTTAAAATGGTTGCTGGACTAATATTCCAAAACCCTAAACACAGATTCAATTCCAAGCTTGAGAACACAATTTGCCTGAAATCTGAGCTAGATCAAACTAAGCATGCAGAGATTCAGATTTCTGGGAGTGTGCTGAAGATCAATTTGATGGGCCCAGCAGTTGAAATAAACAGCTGCTGTTGTGAATTCACATTTGAAAGCTGCCTCCACTGTTGTCCACTGTGCAGGAATTCTCCTTTCTCGGGAATCACAGTGCTTGTGCTCAGATTGGTGAGGATGYACCAGTCCTCCTTGTCCTTCCAACCACGCAGACCTGAACCTCTCTGTCTGGCAGGCACCCACATCATGAAAGCATTTGGTGAAAAAGGTCTGGGAAAGTCTCTGGCTATAGAGAAAGGATGGTGTGGAGCTTCTGTCACCGAAATAATGACTGGAATTGGTCTGTCCTCTGCTTATCCCCGTGTGGAAATCTGAATTCACCCTCTGCTGAAAGCCTGGGGTGAGTCACACTGGATACAACCACAGAACAAGACATGGGAAAACTGCTCTATGAATGGCGTGCTAAAGTTAAAAGGAAACTGAAACCAAATCCAAAACCAAAACAAACACCCTACACCTCACCATTTTATCTACTTTTTTTCCCCCCCTTCAAATCCCAGCCAGGGAGGATGAGTTTGGAATTGAAGGTTGATAAAGACAATATCTGGAGTTTGCTACTCTCTGGTAGCCTGTCATTCATCCTGTCACCTGTGCACAGACCTCCTTTTCTTGCTTGCAGCAATAAATAAATTAATTTCTATTTCCTTATTCTACTTGCTTCTGTCTCTTGAGTTTTKCTAGCAACCAGCAGCAATGCAGATACAACTACTGGGGGCCCTAAGCCCAGTGCAGCCAGCAAAGATAATTTTAGAATTCAATCACTTTCAGCCTCCTTTCCTTCACAAGATTTCTAACCTATGAAAATTTGCTAACAGGAGCAGGATAGGATGAGCCCTTTTCTTTAATAGATGGTTGTTTTGCTGGGCAGGGTGTTTTGCTAACAGGWAAGTGTTATTAGTTCTTGCTAGGCAATGACTTTGATGATGCAGTATTTAATTAATGAATGTAATTTATATACACACAGTAAGCCATAAAGATGACAGTATGTTCCCAGAAGATTTTTAGGTAATTAAATTTTATAGCTTCCCAAACATTGTTCTTTGTGCTTGAAGGAAAATATTGACAGTTCCTTTTTTGAAGTGTTTTTTTTTGTTT